TAAATACTACCTTTAAACCCTCAATCTAAGCAGATGAAATCTGAAATCTGTCATTCAATCTGTAATAGGTAGTATTTTATTATTTTACAATTGCATGCATTATTCATTCACTCACTCCTCAAGTTGAGTTAAGTGTCATGCTCAAGGGCAAAACACTCCCAAAACTAACAGCTTCTCACTCTCCACCGATAAAAGAGCCTGGGTGTCATCGTAGACAGCACCCTCCTCTGAAATCTCCCCTTTTCCAACACTGCTATTGAACCTGAAACTGTAAATCCTGCAGTTTGTTAGCCACTGTTTTTTGTAAAGCTTTGAATGCATTCTTTTATGATTCATTTGAGCTGTTTTTATCTGCTGTGTCTGGTGACCTTGAGGGCTTCAAAAGGTGTCTATAATGTGTTTAGAGTTGGGACCTAACCTTTATGTTTGAGCTTTGAATATACTTTTTGAATAATATCTTAAAATCTTTTTTCTTTTCTTTGATACATAAGAGGTGTGGGGTCTGTTTTCTGTTTTCTTAGTTGTGATTGATTGATATGCGCGAGTGACATTCAAATATTTCTTTAATCCAGGCATTCTCTTTTAAAATGACATGATTGCATTAAGCTATAAAACCTCAATTACCATAATGACTGTCCAAAAGCTAGAGCTGTCACCATAACAAATATTCAAGTACGTCATATTGCTGAAGTAAATACAGATGATCGCCCAAAAAGTATTCTTAAAGGTGCGTTGTGTAAGTTTTCAGGTGGAGGGTCCGTCAAATGCTTTTCTCCATGGAGATGTTATTGCTTTGTCTGGAATGTTTCACAGTATGGTACTGAACCTTTCTAACTTCATGGAGACCAAACCAGACCAAATTACAGGTCAGATCTGTGGAGAGGTGATGCAGAGTTAGAATGCCAGTTTTTTTAAGTATTTTTTTTAGCAGTTTAGTGTCCTACTGTGCAATATTCCAGGCAGAGTAATGACATATCCATAGAAAAAAGTACGTGACAGACCCCCAACCGAAAGTTACATAGTGCACCTGTAATGTAGCCTGATTCATCAGCCGGTTTCACTTTGTGGAAACCGTATGACCGTATAACAGCATTATAATTATATTTATTATATAATAATATAATAAAAGTACATTGTTTTATTTAACCAATCGCTGCTATTTGGTCGTGATGTATGTAATGCGTTGCTAACGGGGCTAACTGGTATATTAAGCTTTTCCCAAATCCTTTATGGGCAATAACGTCTTTCACCTTGATAAAATTCAGCAAACATTCTCTTTGTTCCGGCTTTAAATCCTCGATCTTGGGAATTGTTGCCAACACAGAATGTTTGGCTCTTCGCTGATTGGCTGGTGTCCAGACTCGCACTTCTGGAGTTTTTGCGAACCGTCTAGTGTATTCTTATTCCTGACCTAGTCACTGGAGCGAAATGAAATTGAGCGGAGGCACTAGGTGGTGCCAGCCTGGCTATCTGTAATGTACAATATCTTAAAAAAACATGAGCTACAATCCATAAATGGTTTGATAGTATACTTTTTGTTCATAATTCAACTTCTTACAGCTACATTTTTTATTAGTTTGCAGAGAAATAACCAAAAATTCCCATTTGTACAAAGAAAAAAGTATTCAGGATAAATATTGACCCCAAATCTCAAAAAGCTTAATTCCACCTTTTGTTGTCATGAAGCAGTAGTTTTCAAATTCAACTGCTACGTTTTACTTTTAGTTCAGTAGAGATTGGCAGTTCCAGAACTGAAATTATCCAAATGATTATCCGAATGTTTTCTGTTTGAGTGAAGATTTCAGTCTAAATATGCAGGGTTTGTGTGTTAAACGTGTGAATAAAACAATACACAACTCCAGGTCTCTTTGTGATGAGAAAATATTATAACATACATCTGAATAGTGCAATATGGGCCCTTTAAAACAGAGCTTTGGAAATGTCCAGGACGTGGACATATAAGGGAAGAGCTGTGTCATTTAGAGTGATTGATATCGAGGCTCACAGCGACAGGATGTCTCTGCGAATATCCTGAAATAGCATTTGACTTCCTACAGCAAGAGCCAATCAGAGAAGGCCTATAGGTCCAGTGGAGGGGTGATAGAATTAGTCCACAACAGTGCCCATATTTACTGCATTAAAAGAACATAAAGATAGACCTCAAAAGGGAAGATGGGAGGTTTGTACTGATAGAGTGCCGAGTCATGATATAGAACGGAGGTTAGTTTGCACCACTCTTCCTGTCTGCTCATCACTTACTGTGGGTGGAGAAGTGTCGAACTAACAATAGAAAGATGGAACATTTGGAACATTTTATGCTGAGATTTCTACTGTGATAAATATGTGACGAACAGAACTACAACAGAATTCAGTAGTTTGCACTGATCCAAAGTTGTTCCTCACCTTGTGCATCTCAGTATTTGAGCATCGTAATTATTTATAGTGATGAGTTTTCACAAGTTCCAGAGGCCAGCGAGAGCAATTTTGCCACCACTGTGAGTCTAAGAAAAACTAGAATGCTAACAGTTAATTTACAGGTGTTTTTTTTTTTTTTTTTTAGCTCTACTCTGGTTTTCAAATGTTGTGAAAAAAAGCACTTATAAACTCATCACAGTGAACAATTGCTCTTGACGCTTTGAACTTTAAACCACTGCAAACTGTTTAAAATTCAGTTTGTCTCATTTTTAAGATTCATTTGTACCATTACAAAATTTCCACAGGAACAAATTCTTTAAATAAATATTTTATTTGAAAATAAATACATTTTCTTAAAATATAATCAATAACATTACAAAAGCTTTGGGGATCTGGGTACAGGAGGGGACATAAGGAGATTTACCCAAATAAACAGTGTTGTGGCTGCATTCACACTTGCGTACACTACATAGAAATTTAGACTAAACCCAAAACTAAATCTGGATTAAGCCAAGACTAAACCTGGACTAGCACTAGAGCTGCACAATTATGGAAAAAAATGTAATTGTGATTTTCAGATAAGTATTGCAATTGTGGTTAGATTTGTGAAATTGTGATATATATATTTTAGCAGGATTCTGTTGCACATTGTAACCAACTCCAGTAGCTTTAACGTTTGAGAAAAACAGAAATATGAACCCCATTGTACCACTGAATGTTCCATAATCATAAATAAAGCAATATACTTCTATAAAGGTACAACCATATATTTCTATAAAAAGAGAGTAAATACTTGCAGCCTTTGCGATTTGATAATTCCACTCAAATTTAAATTTCGATTTGATTGTGATATATAGTGCAGCCCTAACTAGACCAGGACCAAAGCAAGTTCACATCAGGACTAAACTGGGCTCAAATCAGAACCAAACCAAGACAAAGTGTGAACACAGCCCAAGTCAGAACAAGGAGTACAATCTGACATGTTCACCACCATCTTTACACAGTACCATCAATGTAATGGACATTCTCCGCTGCATTGGACAATGAGGCAGCCCTCTCAACTCTAACTTAACTTAAAGCATCATTCATTCTCTGCTCTCAGATTGAAGCCCATACCATATCTACACACTCTGCAGAAAAAAGGATAGTATATTCTCTGTCAACATGTCAAAAATCAGCTACTGTTACATCTACACCTGACAAAGTACCTTAAAGAACACATATTATGCCAAATTGACTTTTTTGACCTTCCCTCACCATAAACATACCTGGAGTTGTATGTTGTTTCACTCAAGATTGATTTATTTATACATCAATTCAAATTCATCTTCTCTGAGAGCTCAAAACTGCTGTGTTTGAATACTGTCAGTTTCGTTGTGTCATAGATAAAACTCCAGATTTTCACTCATGCAAATTTTAAGCCATTTACCATCATCACACTCATTGTACGATCAAACTGTGTACACAACAAACGCGTGACTCTACTAGCCTAGCATTCACAGAGAAAAATACCTTCAATTGCTTACTTTCTAAATGCTCATTCTCATTGCTGACAGCAGAGGGCGCTGCCACACCTAACATAAAGAGTTAGAATATACTTATCTCATAGTGACCAAAAACATGTTTAAAAGATAATTTAAGCCACTAGAATGCATAAAATGTGTTCTTTAAATGTGTCTAGATCAACTTGAACACTTCTAGTCTACAGTAACAAGATACAATACACAAGAAGGCTTATTGATATAGCAGTGATCAGAGGCCACAGTTGCTAAGGCCAGTGGTATAGAGAGAGGCTGGCTGCAGCTCACTTGTCATTTGGCCGTAGTTTGGAGAGTCTGATGATGGCAGATCTCCACAGAGACAGGAGCAGATTAGCACAGAGCAGTGGAGCGGCTCTGACCCTGCTCCACTCTCTGCAGAACAAGTCCTCCTGCAGCGGAAAAGCAGCAACCTCCACAAAAACCTAATTACCAAATGCACTCAAAACGCTACGCCACACAACCCGGCTGTCCGTTTTATAATTATTGAGTCGTTGGAGAATGTGCAGGCCGACCTCAATTAAGACAAGCGTGTGAGAACATGTAATTTAAATCTAATCAGTAGAAAAGCAGCAGTGTAAGCGAATCTATGGCAAAAACAACAACTTTGCACGCTTTGTGCTTCTCAGGCCTAATGGAATCAATGCCACAGGTGGCGGCTTTAAACAATGATTAAACTAATGGGAGAGCGCTACATCCACAAAATGGACTGGCTAAACACCCTATTTTTAACAATCACCTCAGCACACCGGGCAACAGTAGAGGAAGGACACGGGCTCAGCAATGTTTCAGTTTCCCTTTAAATGTAAAATCACAGCTGAAGCTGCGTCCACACTAATACTTCACATTATGTTGCTTTGTGACATTTTGTCATTTTAGGACTTGGACTCATGTGCGCAACTTGGTTTCACTAATGTGCACAGCTTGGTGTTATGTTCTTAGAATGGGCAGACTTTTCTTAAATATAGTGACAGAAATCCTGTAGCAAAGTTGACGACATTAGCAAAGTTAGCTTCCATTTTATGAGCCATAATGAGACATGGATGATGATTTTCATTCTACAACCACTTTTATTCATTCAATAAATAACAAACAGCATATCATGATCAGAATGGGGTAAGTAACGCATTTATACCCATACAGTAAAAGGGTAATTTCGACCCCTGCTCAAAAATACAGTAGCAAGTAGATTTGCCTAAACCAATAAACACAGTGTTTGAGCAGTCCATGCTGATGCACATGTAAGGCCGTAAGCACACCATGGACCCATTCCTTACAAAGAAACTGTGTGCACTTTTTCAGTGTAAGTGCACCTGAATCTAAAGGCAGTAAAACAGGCTGTATAAGGCAACAACATTACTGGTGAAAACAGAAAGCATTAGTGTGGACGTAGCCTTCTTTATTCTTAAGTCTGTTTAAAAAGAGCATTCTGCTATAAGCTGCTAGCTCTCTGTGAACACTTGGCTAAGTCCCACACTGCACTGTTCCAGTTAATTAGCAGGGAGCAGATGTGGTACAGTAGATGAAGGCAGGTACATGACATTGAACGCTAAATCATCAACACCTCACCCACAGACGAGAAACCCTGTCACCCAGGAATGCTGCACACCTCTTTTTCATGGAAATTGCTCCCTTTTAAGAATTTTATCACTTTTTGAAGAACCAGCCTTCAATATACACATTTGAGAAAAAACAAACCTCTTTGCAGAGACAGATTCTGAGGGCTACCATTTTATAAATCAATCCATATAAAGTCTGCTACTTGGTGACTAAAATACATTTCAATACACCTCAAAGTCTTTTTAGGTTGATTTTCCTGTTGTCTTTCCAGCTTAAACTTTGCCCTTAGCTTTGGCAGTTGAGGCACACTAAGGGCCAGTCGCCTGCTTCACGGTTTGGCTAAAAACATGGCACAAGATCAATTATTGTGCACGTTTTTCATTTGACCCAAAAGACAGTCAAATACAGAGACACAGAACACCCAAAACATCACAGGGGGATTGTCTCGTCTTGCTGTGCTACTACGGTCCATCTTTGGAAGGTTACAACCAGCCATCCAAATGTCCAGTGCGCCCTCAACAGCTAACCGTGCTGGGCTGCTGCTTGCAAACAAAGTCCGAAAAGAAATCAAATTCATTCTGTCCCAGGAAAAGCTCCGGCAACTCCTGGACGCGATCCAACCCGAGTTCGAGAACCAGAGACGTCAAGACCTCTTCATCGATCAAGTCCATGTCCGTGCCGTTGAAACCCATATTCCCGCCAATGTGCTGGATCCCTGGCAGTTGGTTGTGCCCCATGCGGTACTGCCCCCCGTTGGCAAGATGGTGCCCATTCGCTGAGTTGAGTGGGTGTCCATGGTATTGGGTGTTGAGTTTCTGAAGGTGCATGCTAGCCATAAGCTGTTGGGAGGTAAGGTTTCCAGGGTGGTACTGCTGCTGCTGGGGTCCACCTGGTTGCTGCGGTTGAGCCTGGGGGTGCATGTGATGTGGGTGCTGGGGTGGTCCTTGGTTGTTGTACATCATATTCCCGGACATCATCTGGTGGTGGGGGTGGTGGTTAGCCATGGGAACGTTCATGCCAGGTCCTACCATGCCCTGTCTCTGGCGCATCGCAGCCTCCATGCTGTTCTGGGGGCCACGGTAGTGCATCATCTGCCCGTTGGGGAGGTTGCGCATGCCGGGTTGGCCGTTGTGCTGGGGGGGTCCATTCATGCCCATCCGGAAGCCGTGGGCCATGGGCATCATCATGTGGTCAGCCATGACTGCAACGAGAAAAAATGTGTATACTAGGTTAGGTGAAAATGTAAACAAATCCAGAAAATATATAGTTTAACAGCATGCCCGTAATCCCTTAATGAAATATTTGAGGAGTTATGCAAGTAATAAAAATTTCACACAGGTCACAGTTATTGGTTTATGATTTCTAGGGCAGTAAAGGAGAGTTTTGATTGAATATATTTGTTTTTTCAAACCCCCTTTGAGCTTAAACAGAATTATTTGAAATGAAAACAATAACAACAAAAGACTTCCTTCATGAATCTGTTTTTGAGTGCCGCGGACATCCCTCTTGGTTACTGTGTGACAAAACACAGCTTTTGTTGATAAGGCGTTTCTTGCAGTAGCCGCACAAGTAGGTCCTTGACACCAGAAACCAATAGGAACTCTGTACTTGTCTAATTTCGCTGAGTACAGTTGTGATGATTTAGCATTAAGTACAAAACTAGTGAAATAAGAACTTACAATGCAATTCTTATTCTATATATAGACACAATGCTTTTATTATTATTATTATTTGTTATTATACTAGTATTGTTAATGTCCTGTCTTGCACTGGTGTTTTTGTGTTTGATTATTGTTGCCAAGTCAATGAAGTCTCAGCTCAGTGACAGCTTATATAGGACTTTTGTTGAATTGTATTAAACATAATACAAGTAACAACCACTAAGCCAATATCACTACATATCAACATTTATCATTATAAACTGACAAATGGTCAGAAACAGGGCAAGAACTAAAGTCAATGGAGCCACCCCCCCGCTTCAGACAACATAGAAGATTCCTTGTTGACCACTGGATGCTCTCTACACCATCCTCCACTGTTTATGGCATTACCTCACAGCTGACTCCAGTGCCCCGGGCTGCACTTCAGAGGCGCTGTGTCGACTTCAAAAACCCCAGCAACCAATGACATCAATGATACTAAAAGCTGTTTTGGTCTGTGAAGCTAAAACTTGTACTTGAAAGTGCTTGATTTTTGATCATGCGGAATAACACTGCTTTTTGTGGCACTTAAATATGTTGTTGAGATTGTTCCGCACAGTTAATTTGGTGAATCAAGTCTTTTATAGAAATTGTATACAATATTTCATCTTTAAATGGAGAATTTCCACAATGAATAATGCCCCATTTGCATTTTCTAATTTAATTAAGTTACTCTACAACTGTATATGAAAGCTACTATTGTATCTATACTAAATAAAAACAAACTAACATATAAATCTAGGTGTACTCAACATTTCAGCTAAAATTGTGAAGAAATGGCAATGAACAATGTATCACTTGTATTTTCTAACGCATTTTTCAGTTTGTTTAATGAATTCCTAACTGTGTGCACCATTAACTAGGAATGACAAGTTGAAAATATAAAACAAAAAATTCCAGAAAAGTAGCCTCACCTCTGACTAGAAACTATAAAACAAAAAAATCCCAGAGAAGTAGCCTCACCTCTCTTTAGAAACTATTACTAACTACTTTGCGATGAGGTGCATCATTAGTGTTTTCCAATGGACCGAAATTACACCAGGCACCATTTGATACAGAGAGCCTATAGCGTACGACAGGGGAGTGCAGCAGCCGACGTGCAGTACCCTTGTAGCCAAAAGGACGCAGAGGAATGCTAATATTGACCATCTCTTTACCCCACAACACACGAACCCCAGGTAGGTAACGACACTTCACGCTCCCTTTAGGAACCACTTACTCATTTAATTTCATGGTGCAATATTAAAAAACAAGCATTATCGCCAGTTAAACGGTCCTAAAGGTGCTGTCCCTTGCTTTTATGTAACGATCGCAGCCATTTAGCGCTGATAAAAACACTTTGCACTCAATGGAATACATCCTCCTACTAATGCACTGGTCCCTTGTTGGCCAATTATACCCGTTTTCTTGGATATCCTCGTGCGTAAAGAGGTTTGAATATAACTTAGAATTCCTGGGATAAAATTACGCACGTAGCTTGTTGAAAATTGCAAAAGAAGTGAGAAATTTTAGTGTCATTTGCGCAGCGATCAGAGGAGACTCGTTTCAACAAGACGTTACGCATAAACGGTCTCTGTAAAGCGTTCACAATCTATTTCAATCAACAGCCCAAAGCGTAAAAAGCAAGCGACTTCCACAATGAAAAGCATGAAGAACGTACCTTATATTTGGATGTAAAAGCGATGTCCAAAGTTGTCTCGTTACCGGTTGCTTGGTACAGCTGGTGCTTCGTTTTAGCGCATAGACTCAATAGTGGCAGAAGAGTTTAAGATTCTGGGTCAACTCGGGGATTGCATGCACGTATAAAGCCACGGACAGAGTCGGAGAGATAGGGAGAGGCGGAGCTAGCGTCCTCCCCGTCTCCTTTGTTGCTATTGGTCCTCCCCCTTAATCACCGTGCAAAGGAACACTCGCCAACTAGTGGTACGTGCGTAATGGTAATGTGACCAGGGGGGCAGCATAACACCGAGATGTACACGCCTGAAAAATAAATACAGGAAAGCTTTGGATTTTCTTTGGAAATTAGGCTATAGGCTAGGCAGCTGTCATTATTTTGTTATTTTATTTTGTTAATATATATTTTTAACTCTTTGTTATTATATTGTAATATGTGAGATACTGTGTGAGTAACTTCTCTTCTGGAATGATACATTTGTCTACGTCTAATAGGCTTAATATAAGAATCAATCAAGCATTTTTCCTTTAATAATATATTATTTTCATTCTTAACCAAAAACATATTTAGCTAGTGAAAGAATTAACTCTCTATATTGTATTCTCTTGTAGATAAAATAAGGGCAACTAAAAATACATAACTGCGAATACATGTTTACTGCGCAGAGTCAGCACCAGATTAACAGCGTCGCTCCTTACGCAGTTGTGCTGCCCAGTGCGCACTCCAGCGCGGGCACACTGCACGCTGCTCTCCTTAATGATCCCCCACGCTCTTCCAGCTAATCGCTCTCTCTTTGCGCATTACGCAGCAGCAGTATGGAACGAGCGGTAGGCTAACAAGCTGCCAGTGCCACAATATGATAGACATGTGTAAGAGGAAGGCTGCAAAATGAATGAGTAGGGAGAGGAAATGGGCATGTTGGTGTTGGTTGATACTTAATACTCTTGTATTCTGTGGCGTTATAACGAGGAAAGATTAGCTATTTGTTGTAACTGGGAATCAGACTATGTGTGTGGAACTACTGGAAACTCCTTTCAAAAGAAAAAGAAAAATGCTGCCTGTTTTGATTTCCTGTAATTTCATTGCTCAGCATTTAAATATTAAGGATTGAAAAATGTTAAACATCTCAGATGACAGGAATGCATAACTAACTTCATATAAAGTTTTACGTTCAAACAATTCTACAACAGTTGTATTGTATTGTAGTGTGAAAATATCAATACTGATGAAGTATTGCATTGTAATTCATTTTCCCACTCAATAAAATGGGATAGGGTTTATAAAGTAAGTTAACTGTAGATGTTTAATTAGAGCAATTTACCTGTATCCATAATGTTTACTTAAGGGCATGTTCACACTTCCTGGTCTGATCCTGGTTGGAGTCCAGTTTCATCCTGCTGTATACTTGGGTTTGGTCTTAGTTTAGTCCTGGTCTAATAGGACTAAATGTGACCTGATACCAATTTTGTCACAATACATGCAATAAATGAGTGGTCTTCTTATGCTGGTACCAGTTAGACCGGTTAAGTCTTGTTTATTTATTTTTGTTAGCAGTACAAGTTTAGACTAGTTTAGTCCTGGTTTAGAACTAAAATCTTTATTTTGGACTTGTTCAGTACTTGTGAATCTGTTTAGTTCAAACTTAATCCCAATATAGACTTTGAATGGCCCTGTCCTAGTTCTGGTTTAGTCCTGGTCTAGTCTAGGGGATGTATATAAAGAATACATGTCTCAAATTGTAATCCACATAATTATTTTTATTAGAGCAGTGGTATTAGAGTTGTTTTCAAGGTAACAGTGACCTTTTATCTTTTGTTCAGTAGAGATTTGCAGTTTCAGCGTTCAAATTATTCAAATGATTTTATTGAAGGCGTATGGAGTTTAAAAACATGGTTGAGTATCACCACATGACATCACAAGGTGGAACAGAGTGTTTTCAGTTTGAGGGAAGAACACATCTTAAATATGCAGGGTTTGTGTGTTAAACGTGTGAAAGAAACAAAAAGCAAGTCCAGGTGTGTTTGTGATGAGGAAGCAATATTATGACGAGGAAACGATGCGGAATGAGGAAACATTATAATATCAGTAGCTCAGTCGATATAGCGCTTGTACAGTGATCCGAAGGCTGGCTGTTCCCGCTCTCGACATAGACAATGGTTGAGCGGCCAGATCCATTGACCCACAGGTTGGCAGTGTGATTCCAGCTCTCACAGATGAATGCTGTTGTTGTGTCCTTGGGAAAGATGTGTTTGAATTGGTGAGTGGTTTGTTGATGTGAAGCGCTTTGAGTAGCCAGGCTGGCACCACCTACTGCCTCCACTCAATTTAATTTCTCTCCAACAACTAGGTTAGGAATCAAAATACGCTAGACGGTTCGCAAAAACCCTGGAAGTGCAAGTTCGGGCACCAGTCAATCAGCAAAGAGCCATATATTCAGTGTTGTCAACGATTCCCGAGATTGAGGATTTAAAACCGGAATAAAGGGCACGTTTGTTTGGTGATCTTTATCAAGGGGAAAGATGTTATTGCTCCTCTTCCTACGGGATTTGGGAAAAGCTTAATACACCAGTTAACCCCGTTAGTGGTGCATTACATACGTGACTACCAAATAGCAGCGATTGGTTAAATGATAAAAAGTACCCGCCTACTGTCGAGTGAACGAATTGTAACACTGCGAGGTCAGATGATTTCTACGAAGTGAAACTGGCTGATGAATCAGGCTACGCTTTGAGTGCCATGAATGTGGTGTTATATAAAAATGCAACCATTATGATGTTATTTACAATAGGTCATAAAATAGCGTAAGAGGCTTTATTCACGCTTACGTCACAAACCAGGAAGGAGATTGGAAAGATACAATTAGAACTTCCCATGCCCAGTTTTTTTCATCTAAATGTCATTGTAGCGTTCTGTTATGTTCGGCTAATCAACAGTTACAATCATACCTCAGTTTTCATCATTTCCCCACTGACACACAACTCTGACCAAACTGGGTACATGCGATTAGAAGAGATGAAGGCGCCAAATTCAAGATGATACCAAACTGAACATACGTATAGATTCTTCATTTTACCGCTGATCACATTTACTTCAGTGGGTTTTATCACAGTTGGTCGGCGAGCCCAGTGTCGCGAACTACACCAGAAGTTGTAATCGCGTCTTTCCAAACGTCTTCCAGGTTTGTGATGTAACGTGAATCGAGCCTGTATGGATCCTCAAGGTGGAACATGCAAAACTTTTTCAAATCTGTGCAGGACTTTGAACAACAACAAACTCTAGGTGCGGTGGTTGTTTTGCTATGGTAAGTCATCCAGCGTGTTGACTGTACATCACAATAGCACCAGTGGCTCATGCATAGTGAAATGAAGCAAGGGTCAGAGAGACAATGCTTTCGAACAATGCCAGCTCACATTTGCATATGAAGGGGGTGTGTGCATGTGCTGATGTGGATTCAAGAACGTGCATTTAAACCCCACGTGCAAATATATGGTACAACTAGTCTGGCTGGTCACATGTTTCCCAAACGAGAGTAGCTATGCATACTATTAACTGTTGTTTTACAAGTACAATGAATGTAAAAGTTTGGAAGAGTTAAACAAAATAGTGCTTGTTGGGGCGTATTCTGAAAGAAATATGGGTGATTTTTTTCAAGCAGTGTGGCCAGTAAAAAAACAAAAACTAAATTTAAACTGAAGAGAATAAATGCAACGATTTTATTAAGATGAAAGTTAATAGTTCATACCTTATTCACGCTTACGTCACAAACCGGGAAGACATTTGGAAACATGCAATGACAACTTCTGGTGTAGTTATTGACACTGGGCTCGCTCGACTGTGATAAAACCCTGTAAGTAAAGTAAATGTAAAGTAAAGACTGCATACGTATGTGCTGTTTGGAATTTTGAAATTGTCGCCCTCATTTCTTCTCACCTTCTACCCAGTGTGCTCGGAGCTGTGTGTCAGTGGAGAGATTATGAAAACTGAGGTTTGGTTGTAATTATTGATTAGCCAAACATAACGGAACGCTGCAATGAGATGTAGATGAAGAAAACTGGGCCATTTTCTCATTTTTCCTAGAACAGAGCCCACTGGAAGTTGTCATTGCATTTCTAAACGTCTTCCTGGTTTTTGACGTAAGCGTGGCTACAGCCTATTGTGATAACTCCAGCTTTTGACACATGCATGCTTTTTTTGTAATATAATTATACAGTATACATTTATTTACATGTTATGCCACATCAAATGAATTCACCCAAACCCTAAAAAAATCCTGATGATGAATGTTTGACGTTTTAGTGCACAGAAAAGTCATTTTCACCTACCCCCTATCTCCTCCTGTAGGCCTCTTAGGATATTTACAAGGGATGTAACAATAATCGAAATCATCAAAGTTCTCCCAATAATATCGTGGACCATCACAATATATCGAATTACAAGTGTCTTTGCTTAAATTAAGAGTTATGGCTGCAGCAATAGCTTACAAAAAGACAGAGGGAACTACATAGACCATGATCCTTTGCTCCTTTTCAGTGTAGAGTACATGAAGAAATAACAGTTCTAAGCATTTTTAAGTCTTAGTTCTTTGGTTTAAGTCAAGACATTTTAAGAGGAAAAAGTAGCATGTTAACAGTTTTGTTAGCCTCTACGAAATATCACAATAATTGTTGTACCGTGAGATGTAGATCAAGAAAACATTGTACTAAGAGATTTGGATATTGTTACATCCCTAACTGTGAGCCTTCCCACCATATCACAATAAATATCGTACCGTGAAGTTCATACTGTGATGATATCGTATCGTGAGACTTGGGTATCGTGACACCCCTAATAATTACCATATCATTTTGTAGTTCAATATATGAAAACTGGATTAATATATTTGGAGAATTTTATCATGTCTGCAATTTCTTTACAATAAGGTAAGATTTGAGCTGTAGAGGGCAGTTTAAATAACTTGTATGACTAAATATTGGTGCTAAATGATACAATATATCTACAAAATTGGTTAACTTCGATTATCCTGCTTTATGTCAGTGGCAAAAAGTAGTTTCAGTATTTTCGTTTATCGCAATATACCTTTGTAGTGATTTGAAGCACAGTATGCTTCAAAATGTATTTTTTGACAAGCGTGTCCACCCACTACTC